TGTCCATGTTGGGATCTTTGAAGCTTCCCTGAGTGGTTGGAAGATGTTGCTCACTTTTTGCTTGACTTCTGGTCACTGCTGCTATGAACGCTTTTCTCTTGAGCTTGTTTACACTTTCCCTGGCATGAGCAGCAACTTCTCCAGCTGACTTCTTAGGCCACTCCTCCACTGGCCACTTCAAAACTCTGGCTCGTTTTGCCACACAGATCCTTCCTTCAGATCTCTTGCTGTGCTTCCTCTAGTCATTATATCGGCAATGTTCAGTTCCCCAGGAATCCACCACCAGTCTTCAATTCTCTTCAATTCTTTGGATCTCACCCACACGGTTTGCAAAGAAGGTCTGGTACCCATAGCTGTCCTTTTGAATGGCGCCCAAGACTGTTTGGCTGTCCACTAGATGGAACCACTTCTCCACTTTCAGTCTCCCCTGCCTCTCAAAATACTTCCTGAGCCTGGCTGCAAAAACAGTTCCACAGATCTCGGCCTTTGCCGCTTCTCCCTTTTGATCCAGTGGGGTCAGCTTGGCCTTTGCTTCCACAAAGCAGACGTCAACTTCTCTCTCTGTATCCCACCTCAGGTACATCACTGCTCCATAGGTTTTATCACTCCCATCTGAGAAGGTTATTCCCAACGGTTTCCCTCTCCAGTCAGCTGGTGTGATGCTTCTGTGGAATTTAATACGCCCAAGCTCTACAAATTTCTTCAAATATCTTAATGGCTTCTTCTCTTAGACCTTCTGAAAGCGGTTTATCCCAGGTCTTTCGAGTCATCTTTCCACCTCCAGCTTCTTGGAAGGCCTTCCTTACAAGGATTGCTCCCTTCTGTTTGACTGGTGGGACTAGCCCAATTGGGTCATAAAGCCTAGCTACCTGACTAAGCAGCTCTTTCCTGCTCAGTGGGTCAGGTGTCTCCAGTCTCACATTCTCCTTCGTAAGATGCTCGCCCAGTCTAACCTTTCTTTTCCTCTTGAAAAAGTTGATTGATGTCATCATGTAAAGCATGTCCTCTTCCGCCTGATACCCAACACCCAGGGCCTTGTTGTCTTCAACCCTCATCTGGTTTGGAAGGATGATTGTTGCTGCACTTTGTGCTGCTGCCTCCGGATTCCCCCTGCAGCAACCTGCCTCCCACTTTGGCCTGACCACACCCAAGGCTTGAGAAAGACACCTCCTGCCTTCAAGATGTCCTCCACTCCTTTTGTGATTTTGATCAGTTCCTCCAGACTGTTGTGGGATGTTAGGATGTCATCCACATGGCTATCCTCTTCCAGAATCCTGCACTCCTCCTTCAGGTGAGCAAAGATGGATTATCTTGCCGTCTCACGCATAGCGAGCTGTGCTATGCACCCAGCTGGTCTGTCCCCTATGTTGACCCGTGTGATGGCATATTCTTTTATACAGTATCTTCCTCTGGCTTGTCCCATCAGAGAAATCGGTGTAGATGCATTTCACGTTCCTCCAGCCACACTGAATAATACATCTTTTTGATGTCACCTAGGGCTGCATACACACCTCTTCTGAACCTCAGCAGGACAGCTCTAATTGGGTTTAGAACGTCTGGCCCCTTTAAAAGACGGTCATTCATGCTCACGCCTTTGAATTTTTGGCTACTATTCCACATCAATCGACTGGGGTCATTACTGAGTGAGGGTTAGGTGCCACCAAGTGGCTTACATACCACACCGGCCCCTTCCAGTTTCCTTTCATCTTCTCAGTGAGTTCCATGGTTGCATGACGTTCAACCATCTCATGTACTTGCGCTGTGTATGCAGCTTTCCATTCAAGCTCTCTTTCCAATTGCCTTTCTGTTCTTAAAAATGTGGCTTCCACTGCACTCCTGTTGTTGGGGAGAGAGACAGGGTCTTCAACCCATGGATACCTTGCATCCCAGTGTGGTGAGTTCACGTGAGTATGCTCCTTCTTGATGTACGGGAGACCTCTTTTAATGATCTAAAGTTCTTTTTCCTCTGCCAGGGTCATTTCTTTCCCTCCCGGTTAGCAATTTCCACATCTGCATCCCGCACATCTCGGTTTACAGGCTGCCCCAATACTCTCCCATCTCCACCATTCAAGAAACTCACTGTTAGTGGCTCTTGTAAAATTTACATTAGCCTGATGCTCCTTTTTTAGGAGGGAATCCTCTGCTTCGGATGTGTCTCTGAGAATCTCCTTATATTTGACAGCAGCTCTTCTAATGGACCGAGCGAAGTTGGTTCTTGACCCATGGGCTGCCACTTCTGCATCTTCAAAGAGATCAGGATGTGCTCCTCCCACTGTCTTCCCGGGTGGACTCTCCCACAAGACGAGGTCCCCAACCACTCTCTTCCTTTGAGGAGCAAGCCTTCCCTCTCTGTGGCTGATAAGAAGCTCAACATCTTTTGGTCTTCTTAGCTCCTCCAGCTCAACCTCTGTGAAGAATTATTTTAATCTCTCAGGTTCTATTACTTTGTGCACCTTGGCAATATCATCCATATCATCTTGCATGCACCTAGCTTTTTCACGGCCGCCTTTTTTGTCCTGAAGTTTCAATCCTCTAAACTTCTTACAGAAGAAGATCTTGTCATCATCACACTCCACACACTTCCCCCATTTCTTTCTTTGTCATCTTGGTAGAAGCACAACTTTTCTCAGGTTTCCTTCCTGGGCAGTAGTCTGGTCTCTCTCTCTTCTCCACAGTTTTAAGCTGCTCAAGTCTCTCCAGGACGCCTTCCTGCTTTTTTTAGGAACTTCAGGAGCACATCAAAGTGGTTCCCTGGGGTGACATTATTGCTTGACTCTAGCATGAAGATTAACCAGTCTCTTTTCACAAAATCTGGTAATTTACTCTCTATTGTCTTGATGACCAACGGGTTCCTCATTGCACCAGAGCTCCCCAGCTCTGTCAGATCTGCTAGGGCTTTTTCCACAGTCTGAATTACTTCAATGACTTTCCTTGGTTGATTTCCCTTAACAGGAGCCATTTTCTCTAATTCTTCTAGGATTTCTAGGACAATTGTTGCCTTATTGCCGAACCTGTTCTCCATGACTCTGAAGATCTCATCAGCAGTAGTGTAGATTGACAGTCTGAGATCCTTTATTATTTTGTCTTCAACGCTGCTGAGGAGTTGAATTTTCTTGACCTCTGCTGACCCAGATGGCTCTCCTTGTCTCTGAAGATTCTCCCAATCCTTTCCCCATCTGTTATAATCTCTCTTGTTTCCACTGAAGGTAGGAAGAGCTGTCGGTTTAATCCTAACCGTAGGTGCTGCTTGTATTGGACCTCCAGCCACCACATTTACAGGTTGCGCAGCACTTGCTTCCTCTGCAATTCTCTGTGCAGTGGCATATTCAGCTTTCCTCAGTTAAATTCTACGGCTGATTCTTTTAAAATGTCTGATCCTGCCATCAAGATCTCTTTTCTCTAACCCAGGGATCCATCGCTCCCAATTTGACATGGCCTTGATGACCTCCTTCATCCTCTTCTCCAGGAGACTTAGATGCACATCGTACCCCTCCAGGTGAGTACTCTGAAAAGATAGGTTTCCTGCTACATCAGCACTTTCCTCTGCCACCAGGATTGCAGATTGCTGATTTCGTCTTGACCATACTTTGACCACAGGTTCTTCTGGATGATTCCACACACCTGATTAAACCTTGTTTCAGCCTCACCCACAGTCTTTTCTATATCACTTTCCAGCTGCTATTCAAGGCCCGCCTCTTCTTCTTTTGTCGCCTCAGCCAGCAATCCAATCCTGTATTCATTGTTTGCTTCAAAAATATTTCTTAGACAGACTGAAAGCTTATTGAATTCCTTCTGTAGCTCTTCTTCTACCATGCCATCTGCTCCTTTTCTAATAAAGTTGGCTTGCCTGGCGAAGCTGCTTTTTGCAGTGGTCCTCTCTCTTTTGAGCTGTTTGACCATCTTCTTAAGGATCTTCTGCCATTTTAGACCTTGTTGACACTCACAGCTTGCACCCTTGCGTCTACAGCTTTACTCTGGACCCGTTTATGTCCTTGTCCAGGCTGCCCGACTGGTTATCAACTGTCGAGTTATTTTGGGGTTTGTCTGCCTGAACTCGACCAGGCATGGCACAGAGGACGCAGGAAACAACTCAGATCAACTTAGTCATTTCTTTTATTTGACTTTTGTCATTTTCTGTTGAATCATAAGCAGGTTGATAACCTCAACAAAGAAAAGAAAAACAAACAGAAATTAGTTCCACCATGTACCATAGTCACACATGCAAACATGTTTAGTTCTCTATATTAGACTTAGTATAATATGGATTAAATTAAATTAAACATTATTTTCTCTCATTTTCTCATCTTATTTCTTAAATTAAATTAAGCATTCCGATCAGTATCATCAATCTTATTTCATGATTTACTAGAACATAAGTGGGACAATGAAGTGAAATACATACCAGTAGCGTCTCTGTGCTCCACTGACTCAAACCACACCCAGGGCAAACAAACAAAAGGCCCCTCAGGTGCTCAACCAACGTTAATCACCCTAGAGCTTCTGCCTCTCTACTCTCTCTCTGAACACCATGTGAACACTTGGGCTCTCTACTGCCCTCTGACACACTCCATGCACAAAGTAGACATCATCACATCCCAGAGTGAAAAATATTAAAAGAAAAACATGAAGAATAAACAGCATACAACACATAACCCAAAAGTCAATGATGCTATACAAGAAAATATTCTCTAACATATTCAATGTTATTGAACTATGTTTCCTTAATTGGACATAGTATGTGTAAAAGCAAAAAGCTATAGTTAAAAGAAATATTACCTTCAAAACAGCAACAATAGAAAGATGCACTTTAGCTAAAGATGTCAGTTTATGGAACAATCTTTACTGTGAGATAAAACAGTCTTAATGGTTTTCTGCATTTAATAGAAATACATTTGAAAGACATTCTTATTATATTTTTTTCTGTTTCAGTGGTTGAAAAAGGTGATGTTTAGTTGTGTAATTTTCCTTTCCATTAAAGACTTAAAATATGTGTGTTTCAGGAGGAACTATTGACATGACTGTACATGAAGTGCTGGAAGGAGGTGGCCTGAAGGAGCTACACAAAGCCTCTGGAAACAACCTGGGAGGCCAAACTGTGGACCGAAAATTTAAAGAGTTCCTCAGGGAAATATTTTCAGATGGAGTCTGGGATGAATATGAAAGAGAACACCCCAGTGAAGTTCAGAAAATGATATATGATTTTACACTTTTCAAAAAACAAGATGCAGATGCAGAGATTAGCTGTCCTTATAAACTTGGGGATATTGCTCAAAAAAGGAAAGAAATAGAACAGTTATTTGAAGGAGTGCAAGGAGTCTCCTGGGATGAAGGATGTATTGTCATCTATAAACAGAAAATGCATTATTTTTTCTCTGAAAGTCTAGAGGGTATTACTAAGAGTATCAAAGAAATGTTTACCAAAGTTCAAGCCATTGATTATATTCTGTTAGTTGGGGGCTACGCGGAAAGCAGGGTTCTGCGGAGACATATCAATGAGGAATTTAATGATGACTGTAAAATTCTGTGTCCATCAAGACCACAAGAAGCAATCCTGATAGGAGCTGTAGAGTTTGGAAGAAATCCTGCACTTGTGAAATCTCGTAAAAGTGCCTTCACATACGGAGTTTGTATTATTGAGAGCTTTGATAAATTAATCCACAGGAAGGAAAAGAAGTTCACCAATGAAGAGGGTGAATGGTGTAATGATATCTTCATGACACTGGTGACAGCTGATGACGATGTTGGTTGGGATGAAATTAGAACTGAGATTCTGTGTCCGCTTGAACCAGACCAGACAGTTATAAACTTCACCTTTTATCAGACAGAGAAAAAACAAGTCAAATATGTGGATGAAGTAGGAGTGGAAGAAATTGGATCATTTGATATCCAGTCACCCGATACAACACTGGGAATGAAACGTGAGATAGAACTGAAAATAAAGTTTGGCTTCACAGAGATTACAGCCACAGCCACTGACAAAGAGACAGGCTCAAATCAAACAGTCAAGTTAAACTTTATAACAAAACCATGAAGATGCTTCTTAGACATTTCTCCTGCATTTAACAATAAAAAAAAATAAAAAAATTCAGAAAAGAATGCTAATAAGTGATTGATTTATTGAACGTCTGTATCTCCTTTGAAGGGTTAAAGAATGTGTAAAACCCTGTAAAAGGCCTTGAAAGTAATGAGATACAAAAGGAATTGCATTTTCCAATATTAGATCTATTTTTTATATCTTGTTTCATAGACAAACTCAAATCTATCTTTTAGCCCTGAAAGGAGCTCGTCTGGCAGACTCACTTTAACTTTTTTTTCATTTGGGACAACTACAGTAGTTGGTGATGCTCCTAAACATTCGAGCATCTATGACAGCAAAGATTTTCAAACCTTTAATCTTAGAATCCTATTGATTTCAAGGAAAAACACATCCAGTGATGTTCTGTCTTTCTCTTATTATCACTATGTAAAACATGCGCTAATGTAAACTTTCTTTTGAAAATTTACATTAGCACACACTAATACACGCACCCCCCACACACACATCAAGGCTGCACTTTAAAAAATGAAAAAGTCTAGAGAGCTGTACTTAACAAAACTTCTTTTTGTATACACTTGTGTGTTCTACTGTCCAAGTAGAAGTCTAAGTATATAGATTTATGAGTGCATGAAATTATCTGTTTTAATTGTTTCCACTATTTGTTTAGTAAGTGGGTCTTACTTACACAATAGATTGACATAAAGTAGTTTTCTGTTAAACATATGAGCTGTAGATGCAGTGATTTTACAAAGTAAGTTGTTCTGTGAGGATATTTGAAGACTTTATTAAGTAAACTATTATGAATTTCTGTCTTTCAATTTATGACCAAGAATTGCTCTGATCATGTGCTTTTAAGTCACCACACATTTCCAAAATTCCTGTTATAATACTGCAGTACAATATTTTATTGTAATATCTATTGCTTTTAGCCTTAGCCTCTTGTAATTCCTTTATTGTAATAGATTGTCTGTGCTTCTAATCTTCATTAATGTATCAATCACCCTGTTATTATCATACCGAATTAATAAAAAAAATATCTAATCATTTTTATTTTAATTTCCAAAGCACGGATTGCTGCTCATCTCTTAATGCATCATTATAGTGGGAGCATTATATGAAATGCATCTATGCAATAGAGTCTGCAATTGTATTATTTAATCAAAATTCTGTGTAGTTTGTGTTAGATGTACACTGTGACCGAGCATGTTCAACCCATTGCCCTCTTCACAAACTTATCAAAAAATGTTTGTTCTCTTTTATGATTATCAGATTTTATTACCTCTCAAGATAATCATATAATCTGTCACATAACAGCTTTCATATCTTTTATATGAGGTTGCAGTAATATACTTGTGATAAGAAAAAATATTTCCAAAAAGTTGTTTCCCTTAACAGAGGGGTAAACAAAGTCCAAACATAATCTTTCCTCTGACTCAAAATCCAAAAGTGAAGGGTTCCTGACTGCGGTCTCCGCAAATATCTACAAAAAGGCAAGAGCTGTTTTGCTGTGCCAATTGTCTTTGTAAGAAGTTATTGAGAATAATGGAAGATTTGTTGGCACTGGGGAGTTGGATATTCTTTATGGATTTGGTTTGGGATATAGTCCATCTGTCAGATTGTTGTATTCCTTTCTATAACTTGCATAGAGACAAAAAGACTGGTCCCCATCTTATTTTATTGTTACGCAAGACAAGGAGGTCTACTGTCCTCATTTTTCACCATTACTATTGAGCATCCGGCCATCTACCCCACATTTGAGAAAAACTTTAAATCCCTTTCCTACCACGGAGTAATACACACATTATTTCATTGAAGTGAGGTATTCCCTGATGTATTGCATGTCTGCACCAAAAAGTGAATTAAAATATATGAGAAGAAGTAAAATGTTAAGTAGAGCAAACTTTTTACAAACAAATGTGGAGAAATGTGTTGTAGGAAAACGTCAAGATCCTGCAAAGATTTCTTAGCTACAGTATATTCACCAGACTTTTATTCTCATTACAAGGATTTTAAAACACAAATTAGTCTTTCAATTCTAAATGGCAGGTTAGCAAAGTCTGACATGCTAACTTCATTACCTATGGGGAAAAGCTCACTTTTGGTAAGGTTGGTAAGTGGAAGACATTCTTAAAACTCAGATATCGAGGTTGAGTACAGCTGTTAGAATTGCAGCCTGATCGGGGGGATTTCTGTGGAAATCCCTGATCACGTCTTTGTCCATAATGAAACGGGCTGGAGCCAAAGACCGCTCCTAAGGCCCCTAATCATCCCAATCGACCAAATATTGGAGTCCCCTGCCCCTCCGTCTGGACCTTAAAGGCACACTATGCAACATTTTTCAGTTAATTAATGTGTTCCATAACGTTTTGGATGATTAAATGAGTCATTTCAGGTTGAACAAAGGTATTCTCGGCCGCCCTGGTGGTCTGTGGGGGAAATACTGCACTTGCAATTGCAGGAGCACCGACCCACACCCACAGGCTCAGAAGTCTCGCGAGAGTCAGTCTTGCTTTACGGCGAGAACTGCTACACCCCCCAGTTAAAAGCATTCTCGTTGCTAGCACAGTGGCGATCTTTGTGCAGTTATGCTACTGCTGCTTCATTTTTGCTGCTTGTACCAGTTAGTTCTGACGCATGGCTGAAGCAGCTTTGCTGCTCTGGCTGCGCGGTGCAAAAGTGTGTCTGACGCGCGTTGGGCGGAGCTTCACTATCCTTTCTCTGCCTTGCAGCTATATTTGCTGTGATCAGTGGGAATAAAGTAGTTTTAATATGTGTTTAAATGAGAAAATACACCTGAAAACGTGATCAATGCCGTCAGTTCATTCAGATTATTATCCTGCCTTCAATATTTTTTCTGTCGGAGCCGCTCAGACCCCCACATACCAGCGGTGCGCCGACAGAAGGAATCCCTTCATCGGCAGCCTCTGGCCGGGTCGCCTCCTCGCAGTTCACCGCGGCAGCTGGTAGGTGTTTTTCATCTAAATAATCCAAACTGCATATTCTGCCGGCAGATTTCTGCATTTTAAGTTAATTTAGGCGTCAATAAACTGTTTAAGAGGAGAGATCATAGCCTCTGATCATCAGCGCTGTGTCTCTCTCCCTGCGTCAGATGATTAAACGCGCCTGACGCACTGCTTCAGCTGCTCAGACGCGCTGGGCCTGCTGCTCAAAACGCGCCGCGGGACCTTTTGCTGCGCCTTGACGCGCGTCAACCATTGACTTTGCATGTAAACTCGCTGCTTCTGTCGCGCCAGCTGCGGTGTGAACGCAGCATTAGTCATTCGTTGCGTTCGCCTGTCTGCTAAGCTCAAAACAACCGCGCCTGGCTTGACGGAGAAACCAGGAGAACAGCTGAGCATATTTACGACAGTGCACTTTTACTTTCGCCCTCTGGGGGGAGCCTCGCTGGAAAATCAACACCGGTTGCATAGTGTACCTTTAAGAGACGGTTGACAGTGTAGGCTGGGCCCCCATCAATAAGACGGATGGGAGGGGAGGCGCCCTAGAGGTGGGTACAAACCTGGAGGTTACAACAGGTTTAATTTGTGACAAGTGAAACGTGGGGTGTATCCGAAATGAACAAGGAAGGTGGAGGCGGACGGCTACCGGGTTAACCACCTTGGAGATAGAGAAAGGCCCGATAAAACGGGGAGCCAGCATTTTACTGTCCAATTTCAATGGCAGGTCCTTTGTGGGCACCCTTTGGCCCACTAGATAAGTGGGCGCGGGAACTCTCCTATGGTTGGCAGCCCTGGCCTGGCTAACCAGGGATTTAGTGATGGCCCTTCTAGCCCTTCTCCAGACATGCTGGCACCTGTGGGCCGAAAGACTGTCTGAGGGAACCTTGGATTCCTTCTCCTGAATGGTGAACACTGGTGGATGGAAACCAAAAACAACGAAAAAAAGAGACAACCGAGTGGTGCTGGAGGGAGTTTCAAATGTAGCGAAGTATGTAGCGAAGTAAAACTACTTAGGTTAAAATTTAATCAAGTAAAAGTAAAATTACATATTTCAAAAACTACTCCGAAAATTACAAATTACTCATAAAAAGTACTCAATTACAGTAACGTGAGTAAATGTAATTCGTTACTTTCCACCCCTGTGTATCAGTGGGAGCATTATATGAAATGCATCTATGCAATAGAGTCTGAAATTGTATTATTTAATCAAAATTCTGTGTAGTTTGTGTTAGATGTACACTGTGACCGAGCATGTTCAGCCCATTGCCCTCTTCACAAACTTATCAAAAAATGTTTGTTCTCTTTTATGATTACCAGATTTTATTACCTCTCAAGATAATCATATAATCTGTCACATAACAGCTTTCATATCTTTTATATGAGGTTGTGATAAGAAAAAATATTTCCCAAAAGTTGTTTCCCTTAACAGAGGGCTGAACAAAGTCCAAACATAATCTTTCTTCTGACTCCTAAATCCGAAAGTTATGAGTTCCTGACTGCTGTCTCTGCAAATATCTACAAAACGGCAAGAGGTGAGGTCAAAGTATGTTTTATTTTACATAAGATTTACTCAATCCCTCTCTCCAGTTTCATAAATTTATTTTACAAAACCCTGAAAGTACATCAAAGCTGCTAGTGACCTGGATCCTTATCAAAAAAAAAAAGGCAAATATACTCTACCTTGTAGCAGTTTAAAGTCAATAATCAAGCTTACAAAGGCAGACAAGGATATTTTGGTTAGGAATATTGAGACTTTCTTGAAAGCTGTGCCAATTTTCTTTATAATAAATTATTGAGAATAATGGAAGATTTGTTGGCACTGGGGAGTTGGACGTATAGTTCATTTGTCAGATTGTTGTATTCTTTCTATGACTTGCATAGAGACAAAAAGACTGGTCCCCATCTTATTTTATTGTTGTGCAAGACAAGGAGGTCTGCTGTCCTCATTTTTCGCCATTACTATTGAGCATCCGGCCATCCACCCGACATTTCAGAAAAAAACTTTAGGTTCCTTTCCTACTATGGAGTAATACA